TGAGCTGTCTATGTTCTTTTCCAGTTGAAATACTTTGTCTTCATTGTCTGATGTTCTATCTTCTAAGTGTTCTACTCTGTTGGTAGTATTCTCCATTGAGTTTTTAAGTTGGTTTATTGCTTCCTGCATTTCTAGGATTTCTGATTGCTTGTTTTTTATAACCTCTATCTCCCTGTATAGTTGATCCTTTGCTTCCTGGATTTGTTTGCGTAATTCGTTGTCGAAGTGATCTTTCATTGTCTGATTTTGCTGTTTAATGTCTTCCTTGATACTCCAGATCATCTGAAGCATGTATATCCTGAATTCTTTATCTGACATTCCATCTGCTGCAGCTGTTACCTCTTCTAAAGTTGCGTTGACCTGCATTGCTTGTGGTCCTTTCTTTCCTTGTCTTTTCATACTGCTTGCGTATCTTTCCTGCAGGTGTGGGCGGCGGCTCTGCTCTCTCCTTATTCCAATTGGGGTGTCATGGCTACCACGCCGGCAGGTCACTGGGCCTGTTCTGGGAGCTGGTGGCGGCTCTGTTCTGCCCCTACTCCAATTGGGGTGACGTGTCTGTCGTACCAGCAGGCCACTGGGCCTGTCCCGCTGGTCTGTCGCAGATCTGCCCACCTTTCGGGCACGGGTGGAGGCTCTGCTTTGCCCCTACTCCAATTGGGGTGTCGTGACTACCCCGCCTGCAGGATGCTGGGTCTGTTCCTGGCAAGGGAGGCGACTCTGCTCTGTCACTACTCCAATTAGGGTGGTGTTTGTACCCCGCCGGCAGGCTCCTGGGCCTGATCCGCCGGTCTGTTGTAGGTCTGCCTACCTTGAAGGCGCGGGCGGCGGATCTGCCTTGCCCCTCCTACCACGCCTGCGGACCCCTGGGCCTGATCTGCAGGTTGATCACTGGTCTGCTCACCCTGGGGGCACGGGTGGCGGTTCCGCTCCACCCCCACTCCAATTGGGGTCACGTGACCACCACACCGGCAGGGCCTGATCCGGGCGTGGGATAAGGATCTGCTCTGCCCCTACTCGCGTTGGGGTGACGTGTGTACCACACTGGCAGGCCACTGGGCCTGACCCGCCAGGCTGTCACAGGTCTGTTTACCTTGCAAGCGCGAAGGGCGGCTCTGCCCTGCCCCTCCTACCACGCCCACGTACTACTGGGTCGTGGGTCTGCCCACCTGGCGGGTGTGGGTGGCGGCTCCGCTCCGCCCCCTCTCCAATTGGGGTCACGCGGTCACCACGCTGGCGAGCCGCTGGGCCTGCTCCGGGGGCTGGCGGCGGCCCGGCTCCTTCCCTCTGGCTCGAGGACAAATTGAGGAGACTCGGGTGACTGAGCCTCACCCCCCTTACCAGGAGACCAACTGCTTATGTCACCGCTGGTATTGATGAAGATCTCTCCTCCACCGCTTTCTGCTGACATCAGATCTCTGCCATGTTGGTATCCTATGCGAATGGCAGCATTTCGTTCCCCTTGCCTGGCAACCCAAGCAATGGGTGAGTCCTGACCTGCCCTCAGCAGGACCCGGACCGAGACACAGTTTCCGCGGGCTCCTAGCCCCGGTCCAGGGAAGTTCCGGGAGCCGGAACTCGGCCGCTCCGTGCTCGGTGTAAGCTCCTATAAGTGTAAGCTCCAAGAAGCAGCCCCCGCGGGCTCAGTTCCGGGAGCCGGAATTCGGCCGCTTGGTGCTTGGTGTATGCTCTGATAGTAGCAGGGTCCAAGAAGCAGCCTCCGCAGGCTCTGCAGCCCTGAGCCAGGGCGGTTCCGGGAAGGTTCCGGGAGCCGGAACTCGGCCGCCCCGCGCTCCGTGTTCACTCCGATAAGATCAGATTTTAAGAAGCCCCCAGGCGCTGAACCCTAGCAATCTGTCTGCAAGCCGCAGGCGAATTGCAGCCTGAAATTACCTGTTCTATGGCTGAATGAGCTGCGGTCAGTCAAAAACAGGTGTGGTGACGTCAGTTTACCAACATGGTGGCTGCTGGCCTCCTCTGTGGTCTGACCGGTGTGGAGAACCGAGATGGACCGCTTCCTTCCCCTGTCTCGAACCCAGAATTCAGCCCTGAGTGCGGTGCTTGCGCGTCTGGCAGAAACTGCAGCGCTGTAACCCTGCGTCTCTATCCCAGCGCGCCTTGCAGACTCTAGCCGCGGGGCGATTTGCTGAATAAGCAGTGTTACCCTCCGTGCGACAAACCTCTCGCGTTTGAGTCCCCGTAGCCGATCCTCGTGCGATGGAAATCCTTCCTCCAGGTTCCGGCGCACCCCACTATTGCTGGAAATTCCTAACAAGATATCCTTTAGCCGTCCTGACTTGTCATACTCCCACACAGTGAAGCAGCGCACGGGGGTAATGCACTCCCCTCGCCGCCATCTTCCCTCCTCTTATTGTCTAATTTTTTGAGTTCTTTGTATACTCTGGATATTAGGGCTCTATCTGAAGTGTGAGGAGTAAAGATTTGTTCCCAGGATGTAGGCTCTCTATTTACCTCTCTTATTGTATCTTTTGCTGAGAAAAAACTTTTTAGTTTGAGTAAGTCCCATTTGTTGATTCTAGTTATTAACTTTTGTGCTATGGGTGTCCTATTGAGGAATTTGGAGAGTGGCTCATATTTCTGAGGACAACCTGATATTTCTAACAAGGTTGAGGTCTTGTGTGTTTTCTGATGGTGCCTTGTAGAGATGCCTGAATAGCAAAGTTTTCTTCAGTTATCATCAATAAAATCCATTTCATGTTCAAGATATAAGCTGTGTAAGTTGAGACACACAAAGCATATACACCCATATATATATATATATATATATATATATATATATATATATATATATATATTATTAGATTACTTACCTCTCAAAAACAAATTACACCCACCTTCATGAGAGCAGACCAAGAGGTAGTAGCTAAATGATGAATCTACTTCTTTCTTAAGTAACAATTCAGGAGCAGCAATAAAGGAAAGAAAGGGCAAATGTCCTCTACAGTGTAACTCATGGATTCATGAACTGGGACTGAAAGATACTTTGTCATCATTAACATCCAGCTTTCAAATATAACCTTGGGTTATCAACATCCCTATCAGCTGGACAAGGAAATAGCATGGAGATGTACAGATGTCTGTGTGTTCATGTCTGGCAGTGGCACTTGTCACTTTCACTCATTTGTCATAGAAAACTCAATGGCATGATCAGCACTAACTACAAGAGAGAGTGAAAAATATAATATAGTAGTATGCCATGGTTAAAAGAAAATATCTGTCTCGGCTCCATTTACAAATGACACATTATAATAACTCATGTCATGAAGGTATACAGTAAGTATTACTCCACATTTACATTTTTTAGTTTTAGGAATAAATTTTCTATCCATGAGGATGGAGACCTTGTGTGTTTGCTGAATGCGGCACACAGTGACTCATTATATTCTTAAGTATAGATAAATACACATAAACTTTGAACATATATATCTCTTCTTTTTATTGAATTCCTCAGGAAGTTGAATTTACATGAAGATGCTCTGAAGTATTGTCATGAGGTGAACTGAGGGGAATAGAAGTATCAGAGACACTTAGGAACACATGTTAATAGCATGTCAGTGTGACCAAGCAGAAAGCTTGTTATTTTGTCAGGAAGTCATGAAAGTACTAACAACTTAAAACAGTCCCCAAGTGGTAGGATCCTCAAAAATTGGACTCAAGATCCATAAGAGAGACATATCCAGGTCAAGAACTCATCAGATCTAAGTAGCCAATATTCTCAAACTTATCCCTACATATACCCATCTGCACTCCCTATCCTCATCTCTGATTGCCTTATAAACTTTCATATGTGCATGAGTCCTCTGTACTCAGAGTTTGTCTCTTTTGTACAAAGAGGAATAATTACTCTGAATTCTAGATGATCCTAGAATTCAGAGTAATTATTAGCTCTGTTTTTTATACTTTGTACAAATAGAAATACAAAATAAACACTTTGTGTGTGACTTCTTTAACTCATCATTGTATTTGTACAATTTGTCCATGCTGCATATAACAGTCATGTGTATATTATCATTATTGCATATTTTATGAGAATAAAAATAAATCCTCCACTGTTATACTTTGCTGGGCATTTGGGCTACTTTCATTATGAAGAGAGTAAAGTGATATTCTGAACATACTGTTGCATGAATTTTGCTATATTTACATATTTCTGCCAGGCAAAACCTCAGCTTCTATATATCTACTTTAAGCCTCTCAGGCTTTCACACTTTTATTTTCCAGTGCATCACATTACTACCTATTTTGTCCTACACATGCATATTAGTACCTTCATCTACTTTACCTCTTCATATAAACTTGTATTTTCAAAACTCATGCATTCTTTCTCTTATAAATATTGATTTTTACCTCCCCACACTCTTTGATTGTTCCCTTATGATTCACAAATACATTAGTTACTCCAGTCTCAAAGATAATATTCTCATTAATTACATTGATGAACAACACACATACATACACAGAGAGAGAGTGAGAGAGAGAGAGAGAGAGAGAGAGAGAGAGAGAGAGAGAGAGAAAGTCAGAGAGAAATACACAAGTCCTGAATTACAGGTCAGTAAACAAATACATGTATGTGTGTCAAACATCACTGCCAAGAAACACACATACTATTTCCACTCAAATCTCCTCCTGTATTGATATTTTTAAATACCCAATGAGTCATATGTTGAACCTTAACCCAATTTTAAGCATCATGCTAGGAACTTATAATGTACCAAGCACACTGTATTTATCACACACCATTTTACTTTAAGGTTTGCATGATATACATTCCAGAAACATTCAGAAGAGATCTTGATAAAATAATAGATATGGGTGGTGAGCTTGGTTAACATTTTAAACAGAGACAGTGACACGTAAGATCATGAATATTTAATTTGTTCAAAAATAAGGATTGATTGTTTCATTTGAGGTTTAAATCTCTAGAGAATGAGAGCATGGAAATGGAGAATAAGGCAAATAGCACCATGTGTCTTAACCCAGGATATCCATAATATTCATGTCATGAGAGAATCATTACGAAAACTTAAAGAGATTGTGTACCCCAACATTGAGGAAACTCACTGGCTGTCTAACTTGGAATCTACTCACTGGCTAGAACATATTAAGCTTATTCTTGCAGGGGCTCTTCGGATTGCTGACAAGGTAGAGTCAGGGAAGACATCTGTGGTGGTACACTGCAGTGATGGTTGGGATCGCACAGCTCAGCTAACTTCCCTAGCCATGCTTATGTTGGATGGATACTATCGCACAATACGAGGATTTGAAGTCCTTGTGGAAAAAGAGTGGCTAAGCTTTGGACATAGATTTCAACTAAGAGTTGGCCATGGAGATAAGAACCATGCAGATGCAGAAAGATCACCTGTTTTCCTTCAGTTTATTGACTGTGTGTGGCAAGTGACAAGACAGTTTCCTACTGCATTTGAATTCAATGAATATTTTCTCATTACCATTTTGGACCACCTATACAGCTGCTTGTTTGGAACATTCCTTTGTAACAGTGAACAGCAGAGAGGAAAAGAGAATCTTCCTAAGAGGACTGTGTCACTGTGGTCTTACATAAATAGCCAGCTGGAAGACTTCACTAATCCTCTCTATGGGAGTTATTGCAATCATGTCCTTTATCCAGTAGCCAGCATGCGCCACCTAGAGCTCTGGGTGGGATATTACATAAGATGGAATCCACGGATGAAACCACAGGAACCTATTCACAATAGATACAAAGAACTTCTTGCTAAACGAGCAGAGCTTCAGAAAAAAGTAGAGGAACTACAGAGAGAAATTTCCAACCGATCAACCTCATCCTCAGAGAGAGCCAGCTCTCCTGCACAATGTGTCACTCCTGTCCAGACTGTTGTGTGAAAGGATTGTGACTAAGGACATCATTGATATGAACTCTTCATTACAGTGGCAGCTTTATGAGTAGAAAGTCTCCCTATTTTGAACCCATCTCTGAGAGAAAAGTTCAGATGCTTTATTTATTTTAAGTCTCTCTAAGATGAGTTTAGAACTATAGCAATGTGGGTGGCTTAAGAGAAACAATTCCACATGTAATTACATGATTATGACACTAAACCTGTTCAGACATCTGGTAAAAGTACAAACTACTTTAGAAATACACCTCTTGATTGGAGAAAGCTCACTGCACAGAGGAACAAGTTTTCAAACCAAATCAACACTGAAGTTCTGTGGCATCATCTATATTAGGCCTTTATGTATGACAGATCAAAATCATTTAATACCTTTTTCTCCATCATGGGCTTTTCTTCATGTAGTAATTGATTTACATTGATCACTGTTCAACCTCCATTCTTAATATAGTGAAAGGCAAAGCATAGTGTGGCAGTAGTTAAAAATTGCTGCTGACATTATTTACATACTTAATTAGGGCATTCTACTGTTCCAGAATGATGCCTTAGAGATATACTTAGGGGACCATAAGGAGACAAAGTGGTAGCCATTTTGGAGTTCAAAGATTTCTAAGACATTCAGATTAATTTCCATTTTTTTTCCAATTGTTTAAAAAAATTTTACCCCTTTCTGTTTTGCTTAATGCTAATTGGCAAGTTTTAAAATTTTTAAAAGACTTTTTTGGAAGACTGTATAAATAGCATATGGTGAGAAGTATAATGCTTAAATTTTACATGAAATACTTCACTACTTTATTCCACCAAATTAAGCCTACCAAAGAACACACCGCATTTAAAAATGAATTACAATCTCAATACCAGTAAAAGAAATCTTGCTTCACTGCTTGCCTGAGACTTTGGTGCTGGTATGGACATTTCACTGTCTGATGTCTATTTTACTCTATATGAGAGCCATATGTAATGTACTGTAACTAAGAAGCTTCTTGTCCCTTGGTCTTTTAATTAAAAGAAATTTCAGCTAATTTTAAAAAAAA